TGCCACAGCCTGAGGGACTTATAACCACAGATGAGTAATTGAGTAATTGTATTAAATTATACATATTGTTAATTACTGTACTGTATTGAATATATAAATGTACCAAAAATAGTGTAATGTTTTTTTATATGTAATATTGAAATACATAACTTTGGCAACAATATATTTTTGTTCATGCCAATAAATCTCTTTGAATTGAATGGATTTGAATATTGTATTATACTGTAAAGGTTAAAAAATGCTGTTTTTAAATAAATCATGCAACCGGACCAAAAAAGGTCTATTGGACCCCACTGCAACATGATTGAGAACAACTGCATTAATTTAGTGGACACATTTCCAGAATATACTTGCTCAAGGACAGACACACACACCCATGTGATGGAGTGGATAAACAGTACAGTAGAGTACATGCACACACACCACACAAGAAAGACCACTCAACGAAGAGAGGGACAAGAGAAAAATAGTCATATACAAGGCAACCTTCAGTTGCCAAGGAGACGACCCCTCTCTTGCATGCAGTCTTCCTCATTCATCCATCTTGCCTCACCTGCCTTTGCCTGAGTCACGATACAAATGGGGAGATGAATATTTAACATGCATTAAGTGCTTTATTGATGATACAAACACACAATCACGTCTCATTCCCTCTTGTTCACACACCCTCTTTCTGTGCCTCTAAAACACACCCTACTTTGCTCACAAACACACACACGGTTCTCCCTTCTGTTGTCTTCTTGACTGTATAATTCCTATTCATTACCAGCAAGTTATGGTGTCTGGACCAATTAAGCTGCCTGCTTTAACACTGCGTGGAAAGTAAAAGGTTGTCCTGGAACTCTGTATGTTCATTGTGTGTGTCTCTGCATGTATTCGTGTGTGTCTATCAGCACGTGTCTCTTCTGTTTCTGCTTCTAGCTCTGAGAGGTGATACCTTCAGACCTTTGATGGTTTATCCACATTTTTCCCATTTGGACCTTAACCTGCGTTGCATACCCTTTCACTGACCTCGGTTGCCTATTCTGTATGTGTGTGCGCAGCAGTTTAAAACCTTTGTCTAAGAGACTCGTTAACATGCGGATACGATAAAGTCCACACTGTCCAACATCACAGAGGAGCCCTAAAACATACAGTATGCCCACTGTTTCAGACTTAATTTTCCCTTTAATGGTGAAAGAAACACGGTGTTGCAGAGGCATAGTTAATGAAGAGCAAATGCAGCCCCCAGCTAAGGCCTTCAGCCCACATTCATCATGGATTCAATTTCCCCCATACACGTACAGAGAGTATCTGGAATCATTACAACACAACTAGCAGGCATCCCCTGCTCATAAATAAGCCTGTTAATTGACCTGTCATAGCTAATTGCTGCGGGGGATAGGAGACTAGTGTGTGTGTGTGTGTGTGTGTTTAAAAAAGAGTTTGTCTGTTTGTGTGTCTGAATCTGACACAGTGTTTATGCATGTAAATGTGAAAGATTACGCAGATTTATGGAGAGCGAGTGAGTGTATGAACAGTTGGATAGTTGAAGACTCGCTTTCCTGAGTGTGTTGATTTTAGAGTCATTACTCATCAGCCTTGAGACAGGAGGGTGTGAAGCGGACCAGGGCAAGAATCGACCCAACTGGTCTGCCTGTCCCAGCACAGGGCCAGAGAGAAAGATAAAAAGAGAGAAAGAGAAGAAAAAAACAGAAACAGAAACAGAAACAGAAAGAGATTGAGAAACACACACAGGAGGATAGAGGCACGCAAAACAAAACCATCATTTTTTTTTTACTTTTTTTATCTCTCGTTCTCTCTGCTGGGTTGTAAACTTACTGGGGTACACAGACATGCACACAATCACAAATAGACACAGTGTGGGAAAAGGGATGGAAAAATCAGTGAGAGAGGACGCATCATGTCCAGTCAGAAAGGAGGACTGAGTCATCTAGTTTACTCGGCCACCTCCCAACAGGGAAGAACTAACTGCAAGCGCAGCTGCCAGAGAGCCAAAGGGACCTCAATGATGTGTCAACAGACAGTCCTCAAACACAGGGACTTCCACTGTTATGGCTCCCAGACCCTTTTCTTCCACTATTGTCTGAATGTAGACAGTTTAAACTTCTGGTGAACTTAAACAAGGAAAAATTATTGTGCAGCTCAAACTAGGAATGGCTGTACCTCTTGAGCTTAATTTGAGCTTGGTCATGAGAAATAGTTGACATCAGTTGCGAATTGAGTTAAACATAGTTTTGAAGGGATTGACGTAATAATAAGTAACTATCCTTGTAAGCAGCAATCCAAATGCGACAGAGATTTTAAGTATTCTTTTGCTGTCCAATCTTACACATTTTCTTACTGTACACTGGGTCCCACAGTGCAACTGTGTATGCAGGCATAAATATCAATTCTAGTAAACAAATCCACACCCTTCGCTAATATCCTATATGCACTGATCCTACTTTCTTTGTTCTGATAGTGACTCTGATACTAAACTCAGGGGATTGGTTGATACAGAGCACTGATCTGATACCAGTTCTTTTTTTTCCCCTTTTCACTTTAAAACCTGCATACCTGTAACATTACTGATGTTATTGTAGAAAGTTTTTTAAATCATGTTTACTCAGAAACTGCATTCAATTTAGATTGGTTGCATCTGACTGATGGCTGATCGCTTTCATTAAGTCAGTATTGCCAGTGATAACACTCCAGTGTATCGGATTGCTAACTTCACACATATTTTATTTTCTCATTGTCTTTCTCATGACAGTGGGTAGCTACATATGCATGCTATTTGGATCTTTCAAATCGGTGTGAAACCTTGTTCTCCATCCTGAGATCAGCACATTCTTGATGAAGCAAATAATCCTCAGGTTACCGTATGGATAGGCTTGCTGCTGACATTCAGCAGAAAATTAGCTGAATGTTCACTCAAAGGCCCTCATTTATCAATACTCCCTTCAGTACTAAAATGTCAAAATGCTGTACCCACATTTATTTAATACATGAAAAATTCACCCCAGTTTCTCATATAAAAGCTTGAGGTTAATTTATATTTATCATATTTTTCATTGCCTTCATTAGTATTATTTTTCACACAAATTTGTGTGGTTTGATAAATAATAATGTGATACTATTGATTCCAGTGGGCAAACACTCTCTTGCTTACATGCTGAGACTGTGATTAGCTGCTCAGGTGCTGGCAGGGGCGCTAACTACACAGGATGCTAATATGTGTTAGCTCTGACTTCTCTGTATATGAGGTATATGATTTAGAGAGCTCAAAAATAAATCTAAATTGGAGGACTTTCTCTGATTTTTTTTAGAGCTCTAAATGTCACTGTGGAGAATTTCCTGTGAAAAATTCATTAAATTCCAAGAAGGGTTTCAAACCTAGTTCTATGTGGAATTCCCTTAATTCCTAACAGCCACCAGAGTACAAAATCCCAATGTTCTATTTAGGCTGCAATGGAGGCAACTCTCTTGGGTAAAGACACAGTAGAGAGGAAATGGATGCAGTGGAGGGAATATCTCAGAGATGAGAGAGATGGCAGGGGGGAAAAGGAATACAATAAACATGAAGCATAGAATTTAGTTTACTTAGAGTAAGCAGAAGCAGACCTGACATTGGTGTTGGCACGTGGTGGAAATTAACCCTCAAGAGGAAAGCACTGGAGGCTAAATTCAACTCAGAGTTGAGTTCTTTCAGCTTCAGGCAAACAGTACAAGGCACACTACAAGTATATGTACAGCAGATGACCGGGTCATACCTTTAGGTCAAGTTATGCAACACGTCTCAGCTGCTTAGTGTGGCTGCAGGGGTGGGAAGCATTACTACTGTCTTTAAGAAACACAAGCTCTTAGGTTACATCCTCTGTGGAATGTTTTTCTACAATGCAGACATATTACTAAGACATTTTACTGCTGGTTTAAGAGTACAAGTTGTGCATGTCTTCACTGCTATATTGTTGTTGATTTGTATTTGCCTTTGTCTTGAAGACAAATAATCACCAAGCTGTTACCTGAAAGGGTCCACTGGGGCTGATGTCAAAGTATGCTTTCTTCCAATCCGGGCCTTGATTACCGAACTTCGTCCACACCACCGAGTCCACAGAGGCAATGCTTCTCACTCTCAGAAGCACATTGAGAGTGCCTGTGAAAAGTACGCACACATGCACCGCACACACAGCCACACACACAGCCACACACACAGCCACACACACAGACAGTAGAGATCCTTAGAAACTGTCAGAGAACTATCAATAAGCAAAGATTGAATAGTGAGTTATGTTAAGCAGATTACTGAAATCTAAAGGCGAAACATTTTAAACATAATGACCCACACATAATGATTTATTTCCAACAACATAGACATATATTTGAGTCTTAGTCAGAAAGGACCCTGACCCTAACTCTAACTGTGGATAAATATTGTGGATGTGCTGGACAAATAGGCAATGATCTGTCCAATCAGTTGAGATGTCTCAACCCTAACTGTTACTGCCATCACAGCAATCATGTGTATCCACATCTTTACTAAGTAAAGTGAGATAAGTGACCAACCAATAATGGATCCCAACCTACTTACAAAAACGTAATTGATTGTTTACAGTCACAAGAGAAACAGAAGGTATTGATTGCAACCACTGCCTTCATCCCAGTGGAACTACTCCATGTTTTACAGCCGATCAACAATTTACTGCAAAAGGGGTGAGCTCTGTTCTGAATCACTGGCATAAATTCAGTCATCCAACATCACCAAATATCTAGCTGCTGTCAAGTCGTCAACATTAAACATATTTATTTGAAATAAACAGAGTGAAGTGATGGAAAGTCAGACACAGATAATGATGGACAGAAGACATAGAGAGGTTGCAGTTAACCTTCGTTGATTAATTTTGTTTCCTTTAATCTACCATATAGACTTCGCTGCCACGTGATGTTTGCTTTAAATCCTGAAAACATTTGTAACTTCTGTGGAAACATGACAGAAAAATCAATTGTCCTGAATCCTGAAAAACAAGCTAGAGAGAATGACAGCATTCCAGTTATAAGGAAGTGGTCCAAATAGTCTCTCTCTTTCCCTCTCTCAGGTCTCTAAGGTGTGAGAGAATCATTCATCTTCTTAACGATCCCCAGCCAGCTCCTAATTGGAACATTAACCAACCACCAGTCTCTTAAACAAATATGCAGGCAGGGGGCACACTGTATATGTGTGTTATACTGTATATATATATGTGTGTGAGCATGTGCACATAAAGTGTGAGTTTGCATGTGGATGCATCCTTGTTTATGTGCAGAAATGTTTGTCATTCTGTTGTGTGCATGTGTACCTTTGAGCTAGCGTTCTTTAAACCTTGAAATAAGCAGCAGAGCAGGCAAGCAGTAATTAAGTTCCTACTCTGTCACAAGAGAGGTGCGACTGGGGGAACCGTGCTGTTTATGAGGGCAAACAGGGAAGTTGAACAACACAATGAGAATTTCTGTATGTGCTAGAGAGAAACTGTGACTCTGCGAAACATGACTGAAGCAAATTGTATCAATTCCAAGATGTGCTGCAATCTAAATCGGTCAGATTTGTCAAAACCAATAGATTTCAGGCTTCTTTTTGTTTTGCAATAGTTTGACAAAGAAATACGCTTATCCATTTCTTTGCGAGAGAAAGATGACAAGATCCATACCATATCTGTCAATTAAATGTGAAGCTGGAGCTTAGCTCTTGGCAAAAAGACAGAAAAACCTCTTGCCATCATTATGAGTTTGCGAGGCAACCAACAGGGTCTCCAGGAAGTCACTCTGCCTACCCATAACGTGTCATTTTTACACTGGTAGGCAAATTGCTTTGCTTGCCATGCTAGCTATTTCCCCCAGTTATTATGCTAAGCTAAGCCAGTGGTTCTCAAACTTTTTTCTGGCATTCATTAATGCCCCCCACCCCATAATTTGTATCAGTCATGATAGGGTAAGCAAATACTAAAAAAGTATCCAAGTAGATTTTTTGTCAAATAAAGGTCAGCACAACAACATCAGCAAACTCTTGTTTGTTTATTTGTTTTACCTAGAACATATTTATTCAACTTTGTTTCACATATCCCCCAGCCCCTAGTATGCGAACCATTGACCTGGCTTCATTCTAAACCACAGTGGTACTGATTTTCTTTTCTAACTCTTGGCAAGAAACTAAATGAGTGTATTTCCCCAAAATGTCAAACTATTGCTTTAACAGCAGGATAATTTTATATGGTTGTCTGCAGTTGGGATCATACTCCATTCAGGTACATACAGCAGAATGCTTGTAGTAAAAATTATCTATTGATATATATATATATATATA